AGTCGCCAAGGCCGTTCTCCTGCAACGTGCTCACACGTCGCTTGGGGGTAAATTCCAGCGGGATGCATTTGGACGCGGTGTCATTAGGGGTGTCTCGGGTTGGCGTGGGCTTCGGTGCGTGTGTGACGTCGTTCTCGGGTGTTATGATCGTGGCATCATGCTTTTGGGGGGTCAACCACGTTTTTTGGTTGCTGCTAGGGACAGTTGCATCAGCTTTCTTTGCCGGTGGTGAGAAGAAGCTCAAAAGCGATTGCTGCTTCATTGAGCTGTCCGCCGCGGTCTTTTTCGACGGAGTCTTTTTTGCCGCCGGCTTCATCGTGTTGGCTCGCGCCAGATTTCAACTCTTCCCTCCAAAAAATCAGCTGGTATTGGAGATACATCATTGGCTAACTAAAAATGAATATTTAGCCAATGGATTGCCTTCAAAACATCCCATCTATTTTTGGCTCAACGGGACGCCGTTTGAACAGATTGCGATCCTGGCCTTGATGTTGGCGACGATGTGGCGCAGCTCCATAACCCCTTCGTCGACTGAATGAAGTACGAGGGCGAGGAAACGGTGCTATTCGACCGCGGCTACGGGCTCTCGAAGGTGCTACCATGGCTCGTCCAGTCGCTCGGTCCATGGGTACAGGTCAGCGGCGGTGGGGTCGGCCCTGCTGGCAACAACGACGACATCTCTGGTCGCGACTGGCTGTACGTGGAAGAGCTGTCGGGGGTATTTTACACAACGCCAAGGTTGAGGCTGGAGTGCATTGTTGTGGACCAGCCGCAGCATCGCCTATGGTGCGCCAAGTCCAAGGACTCGATGCAGCTCGACAACATCAGCTTTGTCATTCCTGTTGAAGACGCCAGCACACATCCGTCGTGGAAAGTCGTCGTACAAGACCCGAGGCAGTACCAAGAATGGGTTATATGCTTTCCAGAACGGACGAAGATGTTGCAATGGGTCGACTTGCTTCGTCGAGTGATGGATGTAACAGGTTGTAGAGGCGTCGTCCGCGACTGCGTGCGGCTCACAACCCCAAACAACTGAACATCTCCGCCTTTTTCAAGTGCATAAAAATCGTAATTTATCCGACCGGGCTTCTGAATGTGCAGGTTCCTTCGAAGAGGGTCGCGATGCCAACATCTATCGCCCTTGGGGCTTTGCATTCGATCACAAGAGCCAGCGTCTTTCGTCGTTGACCTCCACACAATCTAATTCGGCAGGCCCATAGTCTGGTTACTTGAGCCGGTGGCATCGTATTCATCACCGTCGATGTATTCACTTCCATAGAACATAAATCCATGTATACATCTACTTCGTTTGTGAAGCTTCTCGATCAAATTGCTTGTTGAATGTTTTGACACCAATCATGGTCTCCATCAGCATTGCAGAAAAACGACAGGAGCGGACGCTGGAGTGGCATTTTATGTCGTTCCCACGGCAGGACGAGAGGCACGGGGTGTCGTTGGTGGAGCCTCCCGGTTCGACTCGGCCATTTTGAGTCCCACTGCCCCTCGCATCTGCCCACGCACTCCATCCATTCTACCAACAAGTCCAACCACATATGCAACTCGGTAATCTTAAAAACATGACGTCACGACGCTGTAAACTGAATGGCGCTTGGGGTCACATCGACGGACTTTGGATCTCGCCGATGCTAACGAACGCATTCGACGGGAATTGCATCGCCGTTTTCGTGGATCTGAAGTATGCAACGAAGCGCATACTCTTTGCTCTTGAATTGACCATCGCTGATGTCCCCCGACGCGATAGCCCGGCCGAAGTCGACAAAGAAAATGCGCGGACGGCCGTCTTGGCACCAAATGAGGTTGCGCATGGCCAAGCTTCCGTGCAAGACACCCAGCGAGTGGATCTCGCGCAAGTCTCGGACGGCCTGCACTCGACACTCGAGAGGGATGGTCGCGATCCCATCCATTCCCATCTCTTCCAACGTCCGTCCTGTGATCAAGGAAAGTACCAGACCGTCCAACATGCCTTCCCAGAGCACCACGGGTGCAGGGCGAACAAGGATGGGGATGCAGTCGCCCTGGACAGCCTCGAGGGCCGTGTACGCGTCGCATTCGCGGTACAGTTCGTCCAGCAATTCGGGTCTCTTGCACGTGTCGACGGCTTTGATGGCCACGGGGATCTCGTCCAGCTCGGTGGCGACGATGCTGGCGCTGCCACCAGTAGCAATGACGTGGTAATCGGGAAGGTCGGTGATCAGGACGAGCTCTCGCTCGTCTTGTTCCGAAGGAGCCTGGGAGTGGTGAGCTTTCGCTTTTTTGGTGTTGTTTGCTTCGATTTACTTCTGGTCGTTGTCCCCGCGGCTTGGCTTTGCTTTGGATTGTCTTGTGCAAGTCGGCTCCGCTTGCGGAAGGTCTTCTTCAGCAGGTGGATTGTCGTTCAGCAGGAGCCGTGTGATGGCTTCAAGGAGTGTCAGCGGGACGAGTTGGTTGGCAGCGATGCCCTTGGAAATGTAGAGTGTGTCTTCGTCATCTCGTTTGAAGAGGTACGTTGCCGAGAATGTGGTGAGGATGCCGAAGCGCCGTTCGTTGAACGACATGTACCCGTACAATTGTCGGATGGCGTGAAATACTTTGCGCGGCATGGTCCACTCGGGTGGACATTCTTTCGACTTGTCGGGGGTATGGACCACGTCGTATGGTATTCTCTGTGCGAGTTGTAGATGCCGTCGAGGAGGGCCTCGACACCAACATCAAACGCCCATGGCGTCTTGCATTCGATGACAAGAGTCAGTATCGTCATCGGCGACTGTCACACGACCAAATCCGGCAGGCCCGCGATCTGGACTTTGGCGGCAGTGGCATTGAACTCTTGACCGCCGGAGCATTCGCAGACATACTGCAACAGCCTCAAGAAATGGCCGCATATTTCTACTTGACTTGTGCATCCTTTCAATATTTCCGCGCTGTACGTATTGATGGTACGCAGTGTCTCCATCGGCATTGCAGCAAAGCGATCTGTGGGAATTTTCGGCAAATCATCCAACGTCCGTAGCTCGATTTGTCTTGGCGGCCGCGATCGGTTTGCGCACACTGTCGTCGCATTTCCAGTGGTCATCCCCCAAGATCGCATTACAGGACCGAGCGTGATGTGCATTCGTTCACGCATGGTAAAGACTGGTGGGGTCTGTCGCGTGATGAAGATTTCAAACTCGTCCAAATCTGGGCGTAGTGACCATCCGCTGATTGCCTTGCAGAGACTGAAGGCGTCAAAGGAGTCTGCGTCGTTGAAGGTCGTGCCGTGGGGTATCGTCATGCCTCGTTCGTCGGCCCATGTTGTTACGATGGCGCTCACAGTTGCGCTTGTCACTAGCATGGGTCGAGAGAATTTGCCTCAAGATTTTCCGAACTCTCGAGTTTGACAAACCAGGCGCAAAGGCCAACTGCTGCTTCGTCAACGGTAAGTTGAGAGAATATGACCAGGAGATCTAACTCAAAGTTGACTTACAGTGAATGACCAGGGCATCCCATGCACTGTAAATCACAGTTAACCTTGGCGATATGCTGGAAATTCCCAGAGATCGCTTTGCCGCGATTCATACGCTGCTTAATGTCAATGCCTACAGCAAGGAGGATATGGCATGCTGCACAAGCGAAGATATATATATGTACTCACTTCTTGCAACTGTTGCAGTATGTCAGCGAATGCCTCGGCAGTGAAGGGTACGACGAATACCATGCGACGTGGTCCATCCCCCCGACAAGTCGAATGAATATCCACCCGAGTGGACCATGCCACGCAAAGTATTTCACGCCATCCGACAATTGTACGGGTACATGTCGTTCAACAAACGGCGCTTCGGCATCTTCAACACATTCACGACAACGTTCCTCTTCAAACGAGATGACGAAGGCACACTCTTCATTTCCAAGGGCATCGCTGCCAACGAACTCGTCCCGCTGACACTCCTCGAAGCCATCACAAGGCTCCTGCTGAACGACAACCCACCTGCTGAAGAAGACCTTCCGCAAGCGGAGCCGACCCCGCCAAAGGACCGATTCGCACAAGACAATCCAAACAAAGCAAAGCCGCGGGGACAACAACCAGAAGTAAATCGAAGCAAACAACACCAAAAAAGCGAAAAGCACACGACTCCCAGGCTCCTTCGGAACACGACGAACGAGAGCTCGTCCTGATCGCCGACCTTCCCGACTACCACGTCATTGCTACTGGTGGCAGCGCCAGCATCGTCGCCACCGAGCTGGACGAGATCCCCGTGGCCATCAAAACCGTCGACACGTGCAAGAGTCCCAAAATGCTGGACGAACTGTACCACGAATGCGATGCGTACACGACCCTCGAGGCTGTCCAGGGCGACTGCATCCCCATCCTTGTTCGCCCTGCACCCGTGGTGCTGTGGGAAGGCATGTTGGACGGTCTGGTTCTTTCCTTGAACAAAGGACGGACGCTGGACGAGATGGGAATGGATGAAGTCGCGACCATCCCGCTCGAGTGTAGAATGCAGACCGTCTGAGACTTGCGTGAGATCCACTCGCTGGGTGTCTTGCACGGAAACTTGGCCATGCGCAACCTCATTTGATGCCAAGACGGCCGTCCGCGAATTGTCTTCGTCGATTTCGGCCAGGCTGTCACGTCAAGGGACGTCGGCTGTTGAAGCTGACCGCGAAGACAAATCAACCGGATCCGGAACCGATGTTCTCGGTGTCGAAGGTTCAAGGTCATGGTTGTGAATTGCTTCTTCCTCTGTTTCTCACGAGTATTACAGCCACCATTGGCACTGGAATACCCCAAAAATACTTTTCGTATCATAATTTGATGCGGAATTTCACACAAAAAGATAATCAATTTCTGAATGGCATATCCAATTTAAACGACGCGTAAAATGGAATTTTTTAGGCAAGAATTGATATCGCATCAGGGCCACCAGAATAACAATACAAATATGGAGGAAAAGTAAGTATTATGGGACTTGTAGTGACTTTAAAATTCCCGCCATGAGCACACAGACCCTCTCGAGCAGAGAGTTGACTGAGGAAACGAAGCTCGAAGTCGCAGTTGCATACGAGATTGCCTGCGCATGGGAAAGATGCCTTGCGGTGCTGTCAGAGTGGTCTCCGCATGCTCGGGATCAACCACCTTTGTGCAACATCTGGTGTCGATACGGTCCACCAAGCCTCACAAGTTCGAACGTGTGGAACGTAGCAACCGCTACACTACAGGCGAGATTATCGATCTTGTTCAGGAAGAACCACTGAACCTACGGAGAAACATGCGGGACTTAGCGCAAGCCACGGGCATCTCAACCTTCACACTTTGCGGGCTCTTAAGAAAGGAGTGATATCGTGCCGCTCGCCCCAAATTAAGCCTGAGAACGAGGCGTTTCTCCCTGTAGTGGCCAACTTCGCCGAGGGAGGCTCGCGCGACCGGCACTCCGCTCTGTTTACCGCACTCGCTGAGAGTGACGCCAAGGGCGGAACTCTGCGTGAAGTCAAGATTTCTGTAATGTGGGATGTCTTGCACCTTGACGAGAAAGGTTCAATGCGGACAAGGACTGTCGGAAGAAGTACCTTGTCGATGGCGAGATGGATTGTAGTCGTGTGTGAAAATTCAAGCGGTTCCTTCCAAAGTTATGTTCTTGTGTGCTGTCGCTCGACCGCGCCTGAATGTTAGGTTCGACGAAAATATTGGGATGTGGCCATTCGTGACTCAAGTTGCTGCAGCTCGCTATTGCCACAATCGACCTGCCGGCTCCATGGTGACAAATCTTGTCAATGTTGACGCCAAGACGTACCGTGATTACGTCCTGAACAAGGTCGTTCCCGTGAAAATGGCGAAATTTCCTAGTGTGGGTAAACGCGTCGTTTTACAGCTTAACAACGCAACTCCGCACTGTTCTATTGACGACCGTGCACTTGCCCAAGTGTCTACTCAAAGGCTGACTTTCGTTGCCCATCGGCAGCCGCCGAACAGTCCCGACTTGAGCTTTCTTGACCTTTGCATCCTTGCATCTATCCAGACCCAACAGTACAAGAAGTTGAGCCGCACTGTGGATGATGCGATTGCGTCGAAGATGATGGCGTTCAACTCGCTCGGCCTTGGAGAACGTGTTCCTTACTCTGCAAACCGTAATGCGATTGGCACTCGTGGATGGTAGTGGCAAACAGTTAAAGCTGACCCATCTGAAGAAGGCTGCCATGAGGTGTGCTGTCACCCTTGCGATAAATAAAAAATGTATCCTGCCTTGTGTTGCTTCTCTTTGCGGCAGCCACTCTTTCAAGCAACGAGTCCATCAGTACTGGATATGGAATTATAACCAATAAAATTCATTTCTTTTCGCATTGTCCGATCATATTGAAATGGTGACTGTAAAATGAAAAAAGTGGGTGTTGGAATGGTGGGAGTAATAAAAGTCAGAGGAAATACATGATTGAATTGTTGTTTTCTTCCAGCGACTGTGTAGCGTCGCGGTAGGATGTGCTTCAAGCTCGTGCATGCGCCAGTAGGAAGTACAACTGAACATAGAAAAGCGTCTATTAACATCATTTCACTTCTCGATTTGCCTCCTTGGTCCTGAGTCGCTTTTTTATGCTTGCTGCTTATCACCCTCTTCCCGACTGTTGATCCACACGCAACCGCACATAAATTCAAAACTCAGGCAAACACACAAGGAGGAAAAACGGCGAACATCATCACCACACCGAACCTCAACGAGCACAACTTCAGCGACTGGAAAACTTATTTCCGCGGAGGACTCATAACGAAGGACGTGCACGACCAACTTACCGCATCGTTTAACATGCAACCAAGCATTGACGACCAGGAAGCACTGGGGATCCTCATCGAGACGATCAAACCTAGTCATTACCGCCATATCGAGGGATGAAGCATATCCGCACATCCTACGAAGTATTCGTAGCAAACCATCAACCGACAACGAAAATCCCAGGTGAGCTTAGTCGATTCCATCGCTACTTGAGACAGTATTCAAGTTGCGACGGAATGGACCAAGCTCACCTTGGAACAGAGCCGGGAGATACTGCCGGGCCTCATTTACCTGTTCCAAGTACTGGTGCGACGCCTGCACGAAGTACGCGCGGGTGAGTCCGAAGCCAACCAAGTAGTAAAGATACTTGCCTTGAAGCCGTGGGAGCTTCGACACATTGTGGACCGGTAGCCGACCATGCCCAACGAAGAGCAAACTGTACCCACGACGAAGGCCGTATGGCGTCATTAACGTGCCGTGGCCACGCCAACAAAGATCGGGCACTGTTTGCAACGGGTGGACGCTGCACACATCGCAAACACCACCGTGGGTTGAGCCAAGAACGCGGCGCATGCCGAACGGGGTGAGCGCATTTCGATGAAGGGTACTGCCACTACTGTGGCAAGGCAGGGCACTAGCAAGCTGACTGTCGCAAGAAGGCTGGCGGGAGCGGCCACCGCTGAGCCAAAACGCACGTCAAGGAAGACCACTCAAACGCAGCGGTTTTGGAAAGCAGACTCTTAAATTTTAAGCACATGTCATCTTAAACTTTATATATACTACTGTATATAAAAAAATTTGTCTACATGTTTTCGATGTTCGAGGACTGACACGACTTAATGTAGACATGGTTAACTCAAACGAATCGAAGGAAAGCGAAGGCGCCCAACCCAGCGTCGTTGATGCCAGCAACACCGAACCCATCTAACTTGGGGAACCAGGTGAAGCTTTTCCACTCCGCAACGACCCATACATGTCACCTACGCGACAACTTGAGACAACTGTCCATCAGGGGAATCCCGTACAACCTGACATTTATGAGCTGTCATGACCTCGCGGCACTCCTAAGCCAACCTATCCAAGACCTGACACACGTTTTGACGGTATCCACTGGCTCCACCTTCGGTACCTTGTCAAAGAGTACGACGTGAGAGCAGTCGAGTGCACCCCACACGACGAGTCCAAGTACTTACCAAGGTTTGGGGTCAAGGCATATGAGAAGTATATCGCCGACAGCGAATTCCTCTTCCTCAACCTACGTTTCTCTGCACCAACAGAATACATCCGAGACACACAGGGACAACATTTATGCCTCCATCCCATCGGCACCCCCGCCGACGCCGAATCCGCACCTTCAAGCGAAGTCGAAGTTGAGCCTTATATCGAGACCGAGTAGTCCCTCGAGTCCCCACAACTTAGCGACGACAATGAAATGATGTCAATACATGTTTTTCAGAAGACAGTTCCGACGAAGCCGCCATGGCACTGTTGGTCGAAGACTGCGACGCCCATACCGTCGAACACCACATTGTAATCGATTCCGGCGCTTCGGTACACATGACGGGCGCAGCCGACCACTTGTACGTCAAGATACCATGCAACCGCCAGGTCATCGTTGCCAACGGCGAAGTCACCACTGCGACCCTAATGGCAAACCAACATTAGCACTCCGTCGACACTTACCTTAACCGACGTCCTGCTGATCGAGGAAATGACGTCGACGCTGTTGTCCGTTCCGGCCCTGATGCATGCCAACCCCAAGATCCGCGTGGAATTTCAGTGTGACGCATGTATCATCCTCTTGGGTTCGAAGGCCGTGGCCCGTTCTACAGTCTGCAACGATCAGCGATTGTACATCCTTGAAGGAGTGTTCACCCACGAATCGACCAACTCAACCGCGACTGTCACCGAACAAACTGCCCTTTCGCACCACCGCATCGGCCACTTACCCATTGAAGCGCGTCGAACATGCTCCAAAGCTGGCCTTGGACTGCCGATACGAATCACCGACATGGACTGACCGTGTATGGACTGCCCCCGCGCCAAGATGCACCGCGTCACTGTCCCCAAACGCAGCACAAGAAACTACTACTACAAGCCAGGTGAGTGCTGACACTCTGAAACCAAGGGACCACTACCTGTCGCATCGGTGGTTACCGCTACTACACGGCGTTCATAGACGACTGCACTGGCTACAAAATCGTTAATTTCGCGCACTCGACCGACGCGCTCAACAGACCTCGAACCTTCAAGAATTCATCGCCTTCTCCGAACTCCAAACGGGCAACAAGGTCAAGATATTTTGCTCAGACGGGGCCCCGAGTACGTATCGTAACAACTAGAAGACATACTAAACATCAAGGGGATCAAACACGAGACATCTTCGACAGGGGAACGATGGCTGAACGAAGTGGCAGAACGTACCCATCGTACACTGATGGAAATGGCCATGGCCATGCTCACTCACGCGAACCTAGCCCACCGCTGGTGGGTCAAAACAGTAAACACCGCAGCTTTCATCAGCAACTGCGCGCTTCAAACGACCAGTGCACGAAGATGCCGATCGTGCTCTTCAGCGGCTACTAGCCGTCATTGACCAACATGAGGATCTTCGGTTGTAATTGCTTCACGCTGGCGAAGCAACCCGAACGTCGCGACAAGCTCGCACTCAAGGCCACGCTATGCGTGATGATGGGGTATATGGACTCATAAAGGCTCACAACCTATACGACGTTGAGAACCAGAAGATACCCATGGTGTCCAAGTTACCTTAATTAACGTCATTGTACGTTGAAGCTTAGACATGTCATTGGTCGGCAGCTCTTCGTTGACTGAAACATCCCACTCGGCATTCTTCTGGCGCGCTCGGACAAGTAGAGCGTCCACGGAAAATCCGATCAACTCCATAATAGGGCGATTAATGGTCAGGTCGATATCAGGCGACGTGTCAACGATCCAGCAGTGGAGAATTCGTAGCGACAACGGTCCGCATGTCGTCTCCAGTACGACCACGCTAAACACGACACTCCGCTTCATCTGCAGCGGCTCTGCCTTGACGCCGTACGGGTAGACCAGCCGAGCCGTTTCATGTTCCGCAGTCACGCGGCCAACACGTCAATGATGCCGCACGTAACAACGTTTACGTTGGCACCCGAGTCCAAAGGGACGCTTTCGACTCAACTGAGCGCTTCCACCGTGGCGCCACAATTGGACGTCCGCGAGCAGACTTGTCGCCTGGGACAGAAATCCCTTCAAGCCACTGTTTGAGTTGCTTGGCTATAATTGACTCCATTTCTTAGCCAACTCTGCAGGCACGGGTATGACCGGAGTGCAGTGCATTAGTTTCGATAGGATCGTGGTGTTGACTACAACGCGTCGACGTCGCAACGTACGAGCTCTGCAGCATCATGCGATGAAGGACAGGTAGAAAGTGTCGGATATCGAATTCAGCTGCACTTGAGATGCGAGCTGGTGACAGAGGTGGTTGCCCAAGTAGCGGATGGGAACTCCACTACGCACCATGTTCGACCTGGGATGGCCGATGATGCCTTGGTTACAGTTCAACTCGAGCACTTTACATTTGCTGCGATTGAGCCTGGCCCCTGCCATCAAGCAGAACTCATTTACAAGGTCGAGTTGGCGCTCGATGTTCACCACAGTAGAGATGATGCCAGGATCGTCGTGTCATCTGCAAAGGACATAGCTGTTGCAATTTGGGTCTCAGAAATCGGTATTCCCAGTTACTCGTGCTCCTACAGGAAGATGCTCAGAAGCTCCGTGAACAGCACAAAGAGGAGGGACGACAGAGGGTCGTCTTGGTTCAAATTACATGAGGGGAAAATGGCGTCGCCGAGCTTCCAATTGATGACCTGGTGCCAAATATGTAGTCGCAATTTACTAGGTCATACGCCTTCTTGGAATCGAGAAACATTGCATATCCCTCCTCGTCATCCAGGATGTGCTGATGCTGGAGATCACGCAAGAAGATGACATGCCGTGGGTGTGGCGACATTTTACAAAGCCATTCTGAATGGGTTGAATGGGCCGGGGCAACAACCCACTCACTCGACATGCCACTGCTCGCGTAAGAGTCTTCACCTCGACAGGTACGAATGAAATCGGGTGATAGATACCTTTGAGGAGATAGTCGCCACGATTGAATGGTAGGGACACCGCTGAACGGCGCTGCGAATCAAGGAGCTCTTCGCGTTCGATCTGGTAGTCAAACACTCGACGAATAATCTCCCCGAAGAGGTCGGAGCGATTTGGAAGAACCCTGCTGAGAAACCACCGAGGCCAGGAGCTTTGCCTGGATGCATGGTTTTGATTGCACCGGCAAGCTCCTCACCCGAGAACGGCCTGTCCAACTCATCGCGCTGCTCCTTCGTGAGCCATTTGGTGACGAGTCTCAGAAAGCGGTGCCGAACCCGTCGCGATGGGAGACGAAGGTGACGTTCACACATGATCTCACTCCACCGACCGTTGAAGGCAGTGTAGATGACAGTCGTATCGGTCGTGTAGCTATCGTCGTGTAGCTGTGCTGTACCTCGCCAATGGGCACATTATATAATCGCTTCTTGGGCGGACGAATGAAGTATGCTGTCAACACTTCGTTTTGGGAGGAGTGGAAGTCGAACTGGAGGTCGTTCTGATGGTGTGGAACTGATCGTCTGACATCCGACCCGACTTGTGAGTGCGTCATGCAAGCGACCGCTCCCTCTCAACTACGTCTTTGTGTGGGTCCTCTGCGCGAAGTATTGTGTGTGGTAGGCTTTGAGGAACTGCCGAGTGCGATTATTCCACCCAGCCCACACAACACCGATATTAGCATTCGTAATGAGTAGTATGAGGAGAGTCTGGGCCTCAGCACGAATTGTATCCTTCACCTCGGGGATACGAAGAAGCGTGTTTGGGAAGCTTCCAATGCCTTTGATCGTTCCCCAGCCACCGGTAACAATGTCAGCACTTGGCACAGGTGGTCGGTGAGGTCAGGACACTGAAGTAGGTAGCCGATCGATGCGCATCTTGGACAAGATGGGCATCGGCGAAAAGGCACGTATCTACTCCTCACTTAAGGGTGAGGTGTAGATACGTGCCCCAGGGTTGTGCAGTCGCCATGCATCCACCAACCTCGAGATTGTAGCCACGACATTAATTCACGTTGCCCCATGTGATGGGTGCTGCGACAATTCTATGAGTCGACGGCACGATCTATTGGTAGGTTGAAATCACCCATGACGACATGCACCCCCCGGGATGGAAAACCCATGGCAACACCTAGAAAAAGGATTCCCTTTATCATTGGACACGGGGGCATACACGTTGTGGAAGTAGACGTCACGTCCGTCCCATTGTGTGTGAACGACCACGTATCGGTCGCGAACATCGTATTGTGGTATGTGCCGTAGTTGACCAAACCCCGGCTCTCCCGTTGTAAGAGGAGCATAACGCCATTGCTACGCCGAGGCTCATCCTCGAAGGAATCGTGACAGTGGTCATTAGTGACGAGGACGTAGTTTCCTACACCGAGTGTGTGGTCAAGGTACACCTTGTCATATTGAAATTAGTCGGTGAGCTTGGTTTCTTGTAGCGCGACCACAGTATGTCGCGCCCAACAGTTGACAAGCCAGGAGATGCCCATTACCTTTTTAACAAAAAATGAGTTTATTTAAGTATATTAGCCGTTGATATTGGCTGTCAGAATGGACATCTCCGACGAAATGATACGGTCGAATGCCAAGCGCACCCAAGGACGTCCCGTAAACGCACATGCGTTGAGGTGGGATGGTCGGTGAGATGTGTGGGGAATGTTTGCAGGTGGAGAGAGAGGTGGTGATGTGTGCGAGGCAGCAGGTGTTGCAGCAACAGGGGCTGCGGTGCAATGTCGGAACAGCTCCCGCATTGAATTTGACCATTTGGGTCTCGCTGTACCGATACCCCCGAGACCTTGCGCATGTCAGCGACAATTTGGTGACCCACATTGGAACGCAGGAGTTCCCATAGTGTGTAAGCGGCCAACATGGGGATATTTTGTGCACAGGGGGCCAGATGACGGGCTGCTGACTGACACAGACCAGCCATTAAACCAAACATCTCACATCACGAGCGGACGACAGCCATGCAACGCCTGTAATATTTTAAAAAAGAAAAGAAATATTAACAAGGATTGGTAAGGTTTTGCGCGTATTGTCGAATTAATCCACATGCTCCACCGCTTGTGTAGACTCTCGTCAATTCCTTTGAATTTCAATCATGCGATTATACTCTATATATAGTTCACTATAGAAATACGTGGCAGCCTGTGTAGCTACCGTAAGTTTGAACGCCGCCAAGGCGGGTTCGATATCGAGCAGTGCCACATCTAGTGTTGGCGGCTCGTGGCTCGAACACTGGCATGCAGTCCGCATGCCGTCGAGAGAAATGCTGCCGTAGGGTGTACACCGAAGTCGGTTTCGAAACTGCTGTGAAACGAGCCGATTTGAGACAACCGGGTTGCCACTATCCAGCGATGGCACGCATGAAGCTACGCTAGCGTACGCAGAGCTGACGTGACGGGCAGCAACACGTTAAAGTCACGGTCCGAGCGGACCCATTGCCATAGCTTCTCAACCCCAGCCTCGTCTACGAAGGGATGCTCCGTCTGTTGTGTATGCAAACTGCGGCCATTTTCGATGCTTCAACGACTGTAGGGTCGTACACGTCGTCGAGCTTTTGCAGCTCCGCAACGATCTCCTTCATCGTCAAGTTGTTGGAATGCCAGTTCATGGATTTGGTGCGAATGCGCATGCGACGAATGCACGTGCACCCATGAAACGTACTAGGTGAAGGTCCATGCAATACGTCTTCACTAGGACGTCCTGCGGCAAGGCCCTCGCTGTGGCGACACTTCCACCATACTCAGCGCTTTGTACTGTACATGGTCGTAGTTACCCATGTCCACAGCCGCCTCCTCTAGCGCATGAGGGTCGACATGTTCCACAGATGTGTGCGTCATCTCATTCAAGTTGCCGAGATTTTTCATTCATATTGAAATCGAAATATAATATAAAATTTGGCAAGTAGTGTGTAGTGCAAATGTTCAGATCAACATGAATTTTGTTCCAATCAAAATGAATTTCAATGCAGCGCAAGTTTGCTCGGTAACCACACATACAAATGAAATCGTGTTGATTTCCCATTGTCTTTGAATGAAGAAACACATGGGACCAACAACCGAAGAAAAGCAGCGCGTGCTTGATGCGAACATACGAGGTGACGACTGGAGGCTTGTCGCGCAGTACAACGGCATGTCCTATACTACAGCGTGGTGGCTTGCGAACTCTGGTCGAACGACGCTGCTGCCACGTGGAGGGTTTCGTGTGGAGCAGTCCAAGGTTACAGTGAACCGGTAAAAAACTCGCAAGCGTTGTACCATCATTAAATTTGCAGTGGGGTTAGTAGATTTCATACACAAGAACAGAAGCAAAATTGTTTCTTAGTCCATGATTGGCTAAATATGCTACAGCGACTTACGTGATCTCTGATTGGTTCAGACTCAATGCCAATCCATGATTGGACAAATAAAGTATTTGAATTTAGAGGTGTCTAATTGGTTGATTTGAAACATTGTCAATTCAAATATTGAAAAGCCTAGTCCCGTCCTTCCGCAGCGCGCTCAACTCCGTTACTCAGTTGAAAAGGTAAGCGTTAAGCTCCTCCATGCGTACAAAAAGCAAACTCATCGCGATTGCGATTTGTGCGATCGAGGCAGGGGTGGCACGGCGCGGTTTTTTACAATCGGGTTTTATTCGGTTTTATTAAAAAAAACGATTATTTCTGCGGCGGCAAAATCTGGTTTTATTCGGTTTTGTTCCCTTCAAGGCTCAAATCACTAGAATTTGTTGATCTCGCCAAGAATAGGCCACAGCTCTCGCGTCGACGAGTCCTGCGGCTCGACGCGTCTTGCTGACTGCTCCCTCCATGTCGCAAGCATCGTCGCCGCCGCTGTCTCCACGTCAGCTTCCCGAAGACGCTGCTTCCGATGCGCTCGAAGTCGAATCACAGCTTGATGAAATCATGACCGTTCTGTCGGCCGACGATGTCGAGATTATGGAACACCCGCCGTCCGTGCAACCCATGCCAGTCAAACGCGGCCGCTCAATCAGCACGATGTGGACCTTGTTCACCGATGATCCCGCTCCGCATAAAGCCAAGAGCGCCAGATGCAAGCACTGCAAGACACTGATCAATCACCACAAGAAGTGCGAGGCCGCCAAGACGCACCTGAACTATTACTCGAATTTTGCACGCTCATGAATGGGATGGAAGATGCTGACCGTCCTGAATGGTACAGGCGAAACAAGAAGAAGGGCGCCGCCAACAAGCCGACCATCGATGTTGCACGTAGCAAAAGCCAAGCGAGCAGCAGCCGCTGGACGAATCCGATGATTCTGATTGCAACAGCGAACCGGAATAGAAAGAATGTACGCGACATCGATGCTCGACCTGCGCCAGAATAAAACCATTGGCTTTTTGCGCCAAAATCGGGTTTTATTGTATTAAACCAATGTATGGATGAATGTATGGGCATCAAAAATTGTTTCTATATAAAAACAGTGTCGCACTATCCTGATTGGGAGAGTTCCCATGCTAATCCTTCACCCTCACACGCATTGTGCTGCTTTGACAAGGTCAGCTGACCCTTCACTAGCTTACCGTAATCACCACGCCAAATGCCGTGGAGGTGCAGTGAACCCCGGAAAAAGCCGACAAGGTATCATCGTGCATGGAGGCAGAATGAAATCAATTTTTTAAAATTGCTTGAGTGAGGCCAACTTGATTGGCTATAATCAGGAGAATTTCTGCCAGTCAATCACAGTTCCTATTGAATCTACAATTGGTCATGTGAATGTGTTCTGACTTGGTATTGAAGCATACAGGTGGTTGAATTCTATGTAACAGATCATGTTTTGGATGTAGTCGGGCAGCATCTTTGGTAGTGTCAGCTTTTTCCAGGGTTTACTGTATCCTATGCCAGTCCTTGCTTGCAAAATAAGGACACTGGTCACTTCAATTGGTTGAGGAATCAGTCCATCCCTGTCCTAGTCTAGAATAGAAATTGCATATTTTCAATCTTGTGTTGGCCAATCAGTGGCCGCATGTCAGAATTAGATGGGTACCATCGTCCATGATTTTTTTTCGCTCGCTGACCATGGGTCAACTCGATGCATACAAACTTCAAAACACTTGCGAGTTTTTTCCCGTTTCACTGTACGCTATAAATCGAGCTACCGTCGAAAGATATCTCGACGAAAACTGCCAAAACACGTTACGCGAAATGCAAATTTTTATTGCACCGGACTTCGACGAAACAAACATCTCGGTTCAAACGATCAGCCGTCACATCTTGGGCATGCTCTACACTGTAAAACAAGTGCGCATCGTACCCGCTACATATAACAACGACCTAACTAGCAAAAGCGACATGATTTTGCACTCAAGCTCAAGCAATACCAAGAAAACGGGGACAATACTGTGTATTTTGACGAAACCAACTACAAGGTGTACTGCAAGCGGAGCTTTGGGCGCTCCAAGAAAGGCACACGAGATATTGTCGTACTGCCGCCGTCTAAGGGACCATATTTGCAAGTGCAATGTGCCGTCTCAGCTGAGCAAGGTCTTGCCTGCTACAAGTTGGAGCGTGGGAGCATCAGAATGGATCAAAACGCAGTAGTATTCGTTGAAGAGGTCTACCAAGCGGTCAAGGGAACTGACAGTGGCGGGGACAATTTGCTGACAAGCGCATTGTCATCGTGTTGGACAACGCACCGGCCCATTCGCAATCGGAAACTCGCGTAGTCTAACATAAAGACATGAGCTTGCTTTGTCTTGGCCCCTACTCACTTATGTTGAATCCGATCGTGAGCTGCTTCAGTGTGTTCAAGGCGCGCCTAAAGATCTACCTCGCACTCCACACCGATCCTATGTTTGAATGTGGTGAGTACGGGACTTTTCTTGAGCGTGGCCTTACCTGAGGACGCTGCCCACGATTCGGTGTTGTGCATCTCTCAACCGCTGGTGATCCGCGAGGTTCTGTTCTGTCAGCGGAACGTTGAGAAGGAGCTCCTACTGGAGAACATGGTGTATGGTCAATAGTCATAGATTCAACTATATATGATAATTCGTTCGCCATTTCACATTGAATTAGATATATTCATGTTGGCATAGTTTTTTGTGTGTTTTTATCGCCCCATCTTTATAAATGACGTTTTATACGTTTTATAATTCAGCTTGAATGGGAAGAGGTGTAGTTTGGCCATCTCTTAACATGGACCTTCGTATCATCGTTTGCCGACATCGTGCGGCAATTATCCCCGTCGAAAACGGGGAAAATGTTACCGTCTCGATTTAAAAGCGCGGTTCCAAGACAATTCGCCTTTCGAACTCCAGTGACCTTTTCATTTGGATACGACTGCAGATCCTATGCGGCGAGCAGAATGTCCGGTTCAGCGCCATGAAGTCTTGGGCTTGGTGTTGAATCGTGGCTGACAACGAGGGAACACGCGCCAGTAGAAGTGCTGACATTTTCACCACCGAAGTCCAAGGGGCACAAGGTGGTCGTAAAGGAGCTGGCGTTTTTCACTCGCGATGAACTTGACACTACTCTACAATACTAGTCTATTCCCTTTTGAATGGAAAAGCCAGTTCAATCGTGTGGTGCGATCAGTGAGTCCTGCGTGAATCCTACAATATATTAGGAGAACAACTTATAATAAGTGAGAGGAATACGATGTCGTAGAGGCTGGCTGTGTTAAATCTCAAGCTGCCAATTTCAACTTGCAGTTGTCCTAGCTGAACTGCCACGTGCGGAAGATGAAATCGCGCTATCCTAAATCATGAAAGAGAAACATGTTCATTCGGAAAATACCTGAGCCTGTATGTCTCTATCATGAAGTCGTTTGATGGTCACGTCGTCCATGAAATTTGAACATGGGTGGTTGGAAAGGTTATGCAATTGTGTTTTACTTGCTATTACTATGAGACTATCACATTCAAATTATGTAATGAATATTATAAAATGCTGGAAGTTTTCATCTTCGTCGACGAGTTTTACCTGTAAAATGTAAGGATTGCTTTTTGTGGCCATCGTAGAAGAGAATAATCACATTCTCACTGATAATTCGTTATAGTTGAACCAAACCTCAAACATTTCACCCAAGTACTTCTCTACAATTATCGAAATATAAAGTATATCAATTGTAAAAGGCTATGAGTTTCAAGGTCGTCTGACTACAATGTACCGTCATCTTTTGCTCAGTGATATCGAGCTGGCTTTTCCACTTAAAGAGGAACGGACTAGTATATCAGCAACAACGTGCTTAGTTTTTGTTTAACGACAGCAAGATCAAGTTATATCATGTCATGCGCTTGGACGTGGACAATATTGTCATCGATTGGCTAAAAATATTTTCAATTTCATGACGAAATGTTATGGACGTCGAAAACGTCCTTAACATTATTTTTCCAAAAGTGCAGTCGAGTCCCACGGGGGAAGGATTTCCGTCGTTCCCTGTTCTGAAGTAAACCCGTCGAATGTTGGGATGCAAGGTGTTCGCTTGACTCCTCAAGCAGTACATTAATTTGTAGCAGCAAACACTGGCCGCATTTTCAATCTGCGAATGATACGAAAAGAGAGACTGCGAAATTGAACCGTGTGCCCAGGATGTCCATATAGTATAGGTCCTGCAACACATCATGCGACGTTGTGACGCCTCGGGAGGACGACGAGGCTGGCGAGTGTAGATTTCACCTCGCCGTCGTGGAACCTGGCAACGGCTCGCCGTAGAGTGGAAGCATACGAGAGTGTAATCCCAGGTGCGGCTGGCAGCTGGGCTTGGCCATCAGGTCAACCACGCGACGCTCCGATGACGTGGACACCTTAATTAGCTGGACAACCGAACGACCAACATTTTCGGATTCAAGAACGCTAATTGGCTGGCTCCCCGACGTCGGCTCGCTGATTGGTTGCCCGCCCGTTGACGATCCATTCCCATCACTTGGGGAAATTAGTGGCGTGCGGAAAGGCTCAAACCGCGGTGGTCACTCCAGCCCACCGGCAGATGGCCCCGACGAGCCAACCAGGACAGCAGGTATGCCTTTTCTGGTGTCACGAACGAAAGGGTCGTGCATAGGCGTATTCCCAGCAGTAGTCTCCCGGGGCTCCGCACCTGCGGTGGGCGAAGCGGCACGAGCGGGTCAGGCACGTTACTAACGACGGGCGCGGCGGCGACAGTGACAGCGGTAAATCCATCGTTGGATGTCATGTCGTCATCTGCGGTAGGTGGCGACACGGTTGTGGCAGCGGGATTCGATGGCATGACGAGGTGGGTGCTTGGAGGGGTGTTGGGACACAGGGTAGGCATGTGTGTTACAGTGACATGCAGTAAAAAGGAAAGTTGTCGCAATTAGCTCTGTGGTAGAGCGTCTGACTTTTAACCCGAAGGCCCTCGGTACAATTCCCTTATAGTTTCCGACAGTTTCGATCCCGTCACGCGCACCTGGAAAGAAGGATTGTCCGGACGAGGGGACCCGCGTTCCGGTTAACAGTCCACGAGACCATCGAGGGTCCTTTTGAAAATTGCATAATTTTATACAAGTCTCTCGAGGAAATAACCTTAACA